TAAAAATACTGCCTACAAGAAATCTGTCACCAAAGTACACCATATATATATATATATATATATTATATATGTATGTATAATTTTATGAAAAATAAGCTATTTAGACTAAACATTTGTCTTTTCGTGTTATAATTTGTAGTCATTCTAGAATGAAAAAAGCATAATTTATGTTTATTTCCTACTTTTTTATGGTGGTTACGAGATTGGTCAAATCGAACGATCATGTAAAAAGATACTGTTACGACAGCGGTAGTCACGTGATGCTGGTAACACATCATGATATTCTAGAAGATTCACAAAGAAATGAGATGTACACTTTTTGTATATATAAGACCGGTAAGAAGTGACGGCAACAATGTAATTGAACTGCAGACAGAGAGAGACGTATTGTTGAGTCGAGCACGTGAGACGCTCGTTGTGAATTATAGCTTTTGTTATAGCGTGACTGTGGAAATTAAGTATATTGCAAAGTTATATTCAGAAAGAATAAACCAGTTTTATTTAGGAAAGAACTTGTATTGCTAAAGTTTTTTCGGAAAGAATTTTTACGGAAAATTAACTAACGACCAGAGACGCAACAATACATTTGATAATTACCTGGAGGTTATAAAGATTTTGCATGTAAAATTTGAAAATTTTCTGATTTATAAAAGTATTTTCAATCTTAAAATGAAAATTACTTTGCATATTGGATACTCAACATTCAAAAAGAAAAAAGGCATGAAAAAAACATTACTTACAAAAATCTTAAAACTTAATAAAAATAATTTGATATTTTGCATAAAAAAGCCTTGTAATATTTGCTGATAATCTGCAACATTTCGTGAAGATACATTTCCATAAAATAGAAGCAAACCTCACCCTCCGGATAGAACTGCATAGAAGCTGCACACAAAATCTACCTCCGGAAGTGGATCGCATCTAGAAAATATAAGCAACCTCACCCTCTGGATAGAACCACACAGAAGCTGGGTGCCACATAAACCTCTGGGACCCAACACATGGAAGTGGAGCACATGATTGCATGCCAGTGTCTTAGGTAAGAAGAACCTGCTGGGTATAGAAGGACATAGGTAGAATGATAAGGAATCCTGTGCACATACAGCACAAACAATTCCAACTGGTGATGTCCGCAGGACAGCAGCAACAAAAAATAAACCTTAAGGAAAAGGTGATACATGGTACATGAGGCTGAGGGCTCAAACGGATGTTGAAAAAAGAGCATGTAATACCACCTTAATATCCAAGTTGGGTAACTGAAACGGTCGTTTGGGATAAAAGACACAAAATGATTTGAGAAGGCTAGAGAGTACTGGGGACTCAAATAATTTTTGTCTCTTCAATTATATAAAGGTAGTTGATACAGCGATTATGAAAGACACAAAACCCTTGTCAAAGAGTCAGGTCAAAAAATGAGTTATGGTTGGTACTTCTGGATGAAGTGGGTTCAACCTCCTTGCAATACACCACTGTCGATATGTGTGCCATTTCTGTTAATAAATGACCATTGTGGGACTACACAGAGACTGAGACAGATACATGACAAACTTAGAAATTAAACCCTGATGCTGCGCAAAGGACCAAATAACCTTCATGCCTGAAGCTTGAGCTTTGGGATGGCTGGGTGTACAATGTTGGAGATGGCCAAAAAGGGAGCATTAGTGGTGAGCACTCCTGAAGGTACTGCAGAAGCAGGAACCAGGGTTAAGCCAGCTAGCTGGATGCTACCAACAGAGCATAACAAGGGGTTGAATGAATCATAGCTAGTACTCTGAGTAACATACGAATCAGTAGGAAGGCATAGAGGTGCAATCCTGCCTAGTCCTGACTGATCTATTGCCAATGCCCAAGGGTGAGGTGCCGGAGACCAAAATGCTGGTGGTTGAGTGTTCCAATGAGTGGCAAACACATGGATCATTGCTGTCCCAAACCTCAAGCAAATCCATTCCCTCAGATGATAGGATGGGAGTGGGCCCAATAAAGAAGATCTAAATTTTAAAAACAAAGAGACCTGGACCGAGTGCCCCCTTGATGGGAAATGTCAGATATCTCTATGGAATTGTTGGAGTGAAGCATGACAATTTTTCCTCTTAATAAATCTGGAACTTCAGACATCACCTTTTGACCAACAAATCTGTCACAGCCCTGGAACAAAGTTCCAAAATCTGAGGATCTGCAAGAGGAGGAAACTCTACAGGTTGGGTGGATAATGGTGGTGAAGATGTGAACTGAATGACTGATCCTGAGACAATGACCTGTAGTACACATGGATCTGTGATAATGGTTTTCCACACATCCAGAAATTCTTGAAGCCAAGCCCTAATAGACCCCATAGATATACAGTAGTCACTGCCGTCACTGGTGGCAATCCATCCGATTGGAGGAACCATGTGGATATGGGCAGAATTTATTCTGAGTACCAATGGACCGAGGGCCTGATGTTGGAAGTCTGGACACTCGAATAAGGGCAGAACTATGACCCCCTGTAGGAGCCAATGAAAGTCGAGAAGCCAACAATGACAGGGATGAATCAGCCAGGTGACATCAAAGACTCCAGAAAGCTAAAAAAAAATCAAGGGTCGTAGAAAGGTGGCCTCAACAATGCATCTGTACCCAAAAAGTCCTAACAACATAACAACTAAGAGACTAGGGAAACTGCAGAAGCTGACAATTGAACCAATGTAGATGGTAACAATCGTCCCAACTCATCATCAAATTGATGTGGCAATCACTGAGAGGCTTCCATCAAAAGTTGGGAGGATGGTAAATATCTTGGTACCATAGTTAGGGGAAGATGAATCTTAAAAACTTTTGATCTATGCAGGTTGACCACAGACTCAGTTCCGGAACCTCACATTTTTCTATTTTTGAGTCTATTTTTCGGGAGTGGTAGGCTAGAGGCCAACAAATATGGCATACAAAGAATAGCAGTCCCTTCACGTAACTGAACAGTAAAATTCCTGCATGAACTGAAATATCAGGGAGCAAATCTAAATTATCACCAGAATGTCCAGGATTGCCCACAAGTGCACAAAAATACATCTTCATCTCACTAAGAATCTATGACTCAGGTCATGGACAGCCTCCACTCAGAGTGACTCCCTCCCCCGACTGTTGACCAACATTAGATATTAGAGGTGGGATAGGAGAGACCTGATTTGCCTCTGTGAAGGAAACCGTAATCTGGGAATTCATGCTATATGTCTGATTGCCAAAAAAAAAAAAAAAAATCAAAGAAAATCAAATAGGTAACACAACGAACGTACAAAGTCATAGTAGAGAGAAACCCGTTAATGAAAGCTTTATCGAGAAAAAGTAATAACATTATCTGAATGAGGTGCTTATATACAGTACCAGGATAGCGAGTGCATTGAAGTAGGTTGAGAGTGTCATGAGAAAGGTATCACCAAGGGCAATTAAGTGGGGAATAAAAGACTGGAGCAAGCGAGAAAAAAATGATTAGATGGGCAATGGAAAAGAAACCCTAGTGGTCAGGTAATAGCTGTAGTATGAGAGGAGGTAAGTATGTTTTGGAACTATATCTATTATCACCCAGCTTTTACATTCGTGACTTGTGTATAAGTAATGACTGTATAGTCATGTACAATGTTCCCCTTTTTAGCTCCCATTTCAAATATCAACACTTCTACATTCATGACTTGTGTACAACTAATAACTGTAAAAACATGTACAATGACAGAACAAACTAGCACTTAAAGACTAGAGTTTATTAGCACTCAGAATTTTCCAATAGGAATGGATATCTATTAGTTAAACCCAGCCACTCAGCTATTCATTCACGTTGAAACCACAGGTTGCAATATTTCATATACCAATTTCTCCATCATTAATACAAGATCTTCAGACCTTGAATCCTACACTAAAGAATGCTTATTGTTAGTGAAACACCACCCCACTCTTAATGACTTAGAAGTATCTTTAGACCTAAAATATTTTAACTAACAACAATCAGCCATTAGTTGAGAATATACATAACTGACGTCTCATGCAACTTGTAATTTTGCTACTTCCATAAAATATTCAATAATCTGTACTTTTTTCCATTAACCACTTTATTAAATATATCAAGTTATTGAACTTACTATACCATTAGTTAATAAACATAATTATAATATTATTTACAGATTTCACTAAAGACAGAATAAGTTTTGAAGCTTTTATAAATAAAAATGTCAACTGTTTTCATCTTTATTAAGATATTTATGAAATATGATCAGTTAACCTAAATGTAATCTGATGTAACTTACAGTCTGAATAATGGGGAGGGGGTAAGAGAGGATTAACTTTATGTCAACAGCTGGGTCAAAGTGCACACACTATGACCTTTTAAAGAATTACACTTCAAATTTAATGTAAAAACTTTAAATAAGCTTGGCACCAAAATGTAGTTTGTAACTCAAATTTGTGTATTATCTAAGTTCTAATTTTTTTAATTTCAAAAAGAAAAATTTAAATAAATTCTCAATCTTCACATCTCTCTGTGTTACATGATGCCTCTACTTTCCATATTTAGATTTTCTTGTACTATTATAAGGTTTTCTCAGTGTCCAACTAATGAGAAACACATAGATATTAACAAGCAAGAATAACATGCCTCTCCCATATCATCAAGTACTTCAAAGAAAATTATCAATAATTCTCTCAGACATTGCTATTGTATTAACTATATATTTCTTACTTTTTATTATATATTTCCTAACAAAAATAACTGAAATGTAAAACTTAGAAACTTTCTAGGCTAAATAACAAAATATATATGAACATTGTTAAGGAACCAGCTCAAGCTAATTCCATCACAATTATAACTCAGTTGGTTGTAGATACTAAGTTTTCTTGCTGTGGTTAAAGTTGCCTATAACATAAAATTAAAAGCAAGCAGAAATGTGAAAAGATTAGAATGCTAGGACTGTTTTGATAAATAAATGTAATTGTTTGTTACAATCTCTAATTTTTCTTTTTTTTTCCTCTGTACATTGATGATTTTGTTTCAGTTCATGTTAGAAAATAAAAGATGAAATAAATATTTGTACTTTTCACAGAACATTCAGAGTTATTATAAACAATACTATGTATAGATTCACCAAAAATAGGGATAAAATAATGCATGCCAAACTTTATGTCTACTTAAGTACTATTCAAAAAGTGAGTTGTGTTAGTCATCTTTAAATTCAATTCTCCAAACCAGTCACTTCAAAGTAACATTCTGTTATTAAGTAAATAATTATTTTCTTTTACAAAACAGTAAATTTTGAGACAGTGTCTATTTAATTTGCATGTCATTTAAAAACAAATTGTTAAACTTCAAATTAAATTCTTCTATGCATACCAAATTTAATGAATCCTGCTTATTGCATACAACATTTAGAGAGTAAAAACAATAACCTGTCCATGTGGTGGTGGAGACATAGGCATACGAGAGTCAGGTGGTGGATAGGTTCCATAGGGGGTTGGTGGAACAAACTCCCTCATCAAATCATGATACATGCCAAGGGCTTCCATCAGCTGTTTACTGACTGCTGCTAATGATGCATGATAGTGATCAATCCTATCAACTTCCTTGTCAATTAGTGGACCCATAGCAGTACATTGTTCTGTAAGAATATAAAACAAATTGTAAACTAACTGCAAAGAAAGCAAAAAAAATAAGGCTAAAGGGAATAATTTCATATTTTTTTAAATAAAAAGATAACTGATATCCCTGAGTCCTTGAGATAAATATTACATAACCTAAGTAAGGTTGTATCTTATATCTCAAAGTCTGAGATAAAACCTTATATCCTGATCTACATAATATAATATCATATGTCACAGAGTCTATTTATCTCCCTTATATCCTAGTCTACATAACATAATATCTTATATCTCAAAGTCTGAGATAAATCCTTATATCCTAGTCTACATAACATAATATCATATGTCACAGAGTCTGAGATAAAACCTTATATCTTACTCTACATAACATATCTTGTATCATTGAGTCCAAATAAGGTTGTATCTCATATTCTTCAATAAAAGATAAAACTTTGTATCCCAGTCTAGATAAAATCATATATATACTAGTGAGCTCAAATACAGATGTATCTGGTATACTTGAGTCTATGTGTGGATGTGTCTTATATCCCTATATCTGAATAAGGCTGTGATTTATATCTATAGGTCTGAGTAAGGTTGTGTCTCATAACCTTCAGTCTGGGTAAGGTTGTGTCTCATAACCCTAGGTATGAGTAAGGTTGTGTCTTATAACCCTAGGTCTGAGTATGGTTGTGTCTTATATCTATATGTCTGAGTAAAGTTATGTCTCATAATCCTAGGTCTGAGTAAGGTTGTATCTTATATCACTAGGTCTGCGTCAGGTTGTTAGTTATATTCCTAGGTTTGAGTAAGGTCATAGCTTATATCCTTAGGTCTGAGTAAGGTTGTGTCTTATATCACTAGGTCTGAGTAAGGTTGTGTCTGATAACCCTAGATCTGAGTAAGGTAGTGTCATATATCCCTAGGTCGGTCTCAGTAAGACTAACTCTTATATCACTGAGTCTAAGTGGGATTTAATCATATATTCCTGAGTACAAGTAAGACCATATCTCATATACACAAGTCTAAGTAGAATCTAATCATATATTCCTGAGAACAAGATTATATCTCATATACATGAGTCTAAGTGGGATATAATTATATATTCCTGAGAACAAGTAAAACCATATTTCTAAGTAAAATGAAATTTATATCCTTGAGGTTCGAAGAAAGAAATCCTCATATCTCAGGTTGATGTATAATTCCTCATTTTTATAGTAAGCAGCCGATATGAAGTTGAATCTAAGTTAGAAAAAATAAGATTAAATCACATAGAAGAACACAATGTTCATATCTATGAATTAAGTTCTTCCACACAGTCTCACCCCAAGTTGAATTCTATAAACCTTGAAAGGATTTGGAATTTTAATAATATAAATCATTATTCACTGCATATTTCTGTAATGATCCACAGACCAGCAGGTGGAAACCACTGCTCAACTTTAACAACACATCCCTTACAAGAGTTCATTTTCTAACACTTCTGAATGATTAGTAATAAGTCTTGTTAACATTAACAGAATATTTTCATTAAGCTGGAGGAACAGTGAATAGTTGAAAATTACTTAAATTACATAAAGACATTCTAAGTTACTTTTTACACAATGTCAACAGTAAGGGTATTTAAATGATGACTCAAAGCTATCTATTAAAACACTGTCAACAGTAAGGGTACCTAAATGGTGACTCAAAGTTATCTAATTATTAAAACATTGTCAACAGTAAGGGTACCTAAATGGTGACTCAAAGTTATCTATTTATTAAAACATTGTCAACAGTAAGGGTACCTAAATAATGACTCAAAGCAATCTATTTATTAAAATATTTTTAACAGGAAGGGTATTTAAATGATGACTCATAGTGATCTGTTAGGTCATCAAGAAATTAATGTCGCTTTTTTACATGAAAAATCCCTAACAATTTATATATCAAAACCAAACATATATTAAATAAAATAATCTCCACTCTTATTGATGATGCTTTTTCCATCTTACAATCAGGTTGTTAATGCCCTGACTAAAGAAATCACTCTACTTTGAAGCAAAAAAACATGTCAATGTCCTCTTTAACACCTTCCATATTTGCATACGTTTTCCCACTAAGATGGTGTTGCAGCAAATGAAAAATATGGTAATCTGATGGTGCCATATCTGGAGAATATGGTGGGTGGGGAAGAACTTCCCAACCCAACTCCATAATCTTGTGTTGCATGGATGTGCATTGTTGTGGAGAAGAACACTTTTCCAATTGATGAGTGAAGGGCATTTCTGATGAAGGGCTTGATTTAAACATTCCAGCTGCTGATTATAGATCTATGCATTGACAGTTCACTGTGGATTGAGGAGTTTGAAATGAATTACTCCTTTGATGTTCCAACAAATGCAAAGCATCAATTTTTGCAGATGAAGTCCAGGTTTTGGGGTTGGAAGTGTTTTTTGTCTAGGACTGAGCCATTGTTTTGGGCATTTAATATCCGCATAGAGAATCCATTTTTTATCACTGGTGACAATTCTGTCCAAAAACGGTTCATGCGCATTACGTGCCAGAAGAGACAAAGCAACGTTTACACATTGGAAACGATGATCATCGAAGAGTTAGTGAGGCACCCAAACACCTTCTTTATGGAGTTTTCCTATATTCCTTAGATGTTGACATATTATTTCATGAGACATACAATTTCAGGGCCATTTCATGAGTGTGTTGCCTTGGGTTAGACTCAACAAGCATCTTCAGAGCATCA